AAGGGTTCAAACGAAGATTATGACTACTACTGAACTTTTCAATTTGTGCAAGATCTTGATTAATTTTATTATTTGCCGTTTCCAAGTCATTACTCCTAAATGAATAGAAAATTTGAGTATCATCAGCAAAAAATTGTATGCTGCATGATTTTACCTCTGTTTCTAAATCTGAGATATATAATGAAAACAATAGCGGTCCTAAGACTGATCCCTATGGTACCCCAGAACAAATTTTTTGTTCCGTAGAGTACTGTTGATTTAGACGAACTTTTTGATACCGATTTTCAAGGTAGGTTTGAATTAACGAAAGAGGTTTTTTAGAAAATCCATAGTAACTGCATTTAGATACAAGAAGTGAGTGATTAATGGTGTCAAATGCTTTAGCAAAGTCAAGAAGTATGAGAGCTACTGCTTTTTGGTTTTCAAGTGCCATTGTTATATTGTCTGTTAAATCACAGAGTGCCGAAGCTGTATTATGACCTTGTCGAAATCCAGATTGTTTAGATGGAATAATTTTGTTAGGATATAAGTATGCGCAGAGCTGCTCGTAAACAACGCGTTCCAATACTTTAAAGAAAATTGGCAGTAGACTGATCGGTCTCAGTTGACCATAGTTAGCAGGATCAGAACACTTAGATAGCGGAATAACTATAGCGCGTTTCCACTGATTGGGGAAATATACCCTCTCTAAACAGCAGTTTATAATTTGCGTTAAGTACACATCAATTTCAGGTATACATAGTAGTATTATATGCAAAGTTATTTCATCTGTACCACTAGAATTTGATTTTATTTTATGTATAATTTTAACAACAGTGTCAATAGTCACTTTATTAAATTGAAATTTGAATTTTGAGTTATTTTTATTAGCTCGGTAATATGCAATTTTATCAGCACAAGCCAAATCACTATTCTCGAAAATTGAAATGAATGCATCATTTATTTTATACGGATCTGACAAGCTCACGGGAATTGTAGAATCTTTCTGAGATTGTACTTTGAAAGTCTTTAGAGTCTTATAAAACTTTTTTATATCCTGATTTTGAACAGCTTGTAAATAATCTCTTTTTCCTCTTCGCACGAGCATTAATGCACGATTTCTGAAATATGTATACTGTTGCCAAGAGGCGGCTGTACGATCATGCTTGAACTTTGACATAGCTTCAGCTCTCTGCTTGAATACAAGTTTAATATTATCATCCAACCAAGGAGCTGGAGCTTTGTTTACACGCACTACCTTTTTTGGACAGTGAACATTAAATAAACAAAATACTATCTGTTAAAAAGTTAATTTTATCTTCAATGTCATCTATCGATATAATATGCCACCATGGAAAACTCTTGAGATCTTGTTCAAACGCTATTTCATTTAAACTATGGAAATCCCTGAATGTCACAAATTTCTGTTGATTTTTAGGAAGTGCAATACGTATATCACAGAAGGTTAAATAGTGATCAGTAATCATATCAGCATTAATAGTGCCACTCCTAAGACAACTTTCAGGCTTGCTCAAATAAATAGGATCTAAGAGAGTGAGTGTCGATTCAGTTATCCTAGTCGGTTCAGATATCACCTGTTTCAGATTATAAGAATCAAGGCATTTAGTCAAGTTGTTACAAACTAAAAGCAAATTAACATTGATATCCCCTGCAAGAATGATATCATCATATTCAGCTAATATGGCAGGCAACATGTTATCAAAGGTATTACCGGCTTCTGTAACAGAGCTATGTGGGGGCCGATAGAATATACCAATAGCAATTTTTTGTTTTGGAAGCTGCACCTTCAACCATATATATTCAAGACTTGGGCCTTGCCCAAATGAAATTATGGATGAGCTGTAGTGGTTGTTTACAAAGACTGCAACTCCACCACCTCGCCCATCTCTATCACAGCGATAGCAGTTGTATCCATTCATTCTTATATGGTCATTAGATATATCTTTTCATAGCCACGTTTCCGATATTCCAACAATATCAAGGTTGTTGTTTTGAACCAGTGTACTAAATTCATGAAATCCTGATAAAACTGATCTGCAGTTTATATGACCAAATTTTAAATGTAACAAGACAAAATAAAACTGCGTATTGCTTAGGACATGCTTATGTCTGGAACATACATTACATTTTATTGTACAGACTCTGTTGTCTAGTTTAAGTTGAGCCTAATTAGAGGTCATGACGCATGAGCTTAGTTTTGAATGACTTCTGAAAAGAAAGATTAATGTAAGTGTATCACTTATTGTCTCTTTTAATGTCTATCACTAAACCAGATGCACTGTACCTACATCTTGATGTTCTTCAGCTCAGTAGAGCAGAAATCTGAGTTAAAGGTAAAACCATTACTAGCCATCATTGTGTCAATTTTCAGCGAATTTGTGCTTTCTGCTTTTACGACTGCTACGACCATGATCTTTTATTCGATAAAACGAGAAAATGAGCCTTTTGCGTTGATTAGAAGTTTTTTAGAAATATCTAGAGAAAACAAGTTCAGTCCTGGAGATACGGATTATGTTCCTTTGTTTACAGTGTGTGCAGTGTCTAGTTCCGTATTATAAAATGACAAATATACGTCTTTAGATTGCATCTATGTATGCATGTTGCGCTTTTAAAAGCTGAAATCGATATATTCCTAAGGCAAATACTGCAAGGAAGATTCATTTATTTTATGAAATCGGATATGAGTCAAGTAGCCTATTACAACTGATACCTCAATTTAAGTTATACTGGATGATTACTTACCATTGTATCCTCCTCCGCCTAGCCCACCACCTCCTCCAAATCCACCTCCTGAAATATTTCAAGTATCACAGTTAATTGCTGTATGTAAAAAGGTACCAACATATTTATGAAACCTAGATAACTCTGACATGCTTCTTATGAGGTACCTCTAATGATATGAATGTCTTGCAACGTATGGGACAAACGTTTTGAGAAAAAGTTTGCCCTGAAATTTCTAGCCGATCTAGTTACCATGAAGCAGGTAAACAAATCGTGGATTATTCTCATTAATGAATGACAAAATGTCTTAATAATTATGTTCAAAATGTCGTACGGACTTGGAATTCGCAAGAGTATCTAAGCTGTTACCCAAAACTACAAGCAGCAGGCTGTCTGTTGGAACTGTATCCCAGTCCTCAATTATTGGTGTGGTTGGCCACCTCTGGTCTACTATTACAACCAGAATCGGCAGCTTCTAGAGGTCACCGTCGTGACCTGTCTGTCATCCTGCTTCTTCACTCCCGCGGTGGTTGACTCTGGTAATAGATAGCTTTTTGTGCTGCATTATTTCGATAGACCTTAAATGCTGGATGGAGGATAGTTGTTCAGTTCTTGTTCTGCCTGAGACCAAACTCAGTCCATGCTAACAAGTTTCCAAAAAGCATGAAACAGCTGAAAGTGCTTACTACTGAGCATCATAGGCCGCTAGCAGTTTTGTAGATTCGTCCTTATATTATCGAAAGATGTATAATAAACCATTAGTGTTACGATTTTAATAATATTTTGTTATTTCGTTGATAAAGCCTGTTACAATTTTTTTCCTCAAAACAAAGTCCCATACGTTATTGAAAAAAATATTAAGCTTAAACATTGTTTTATTAATAACTCTTGTATTTTTAGGTTCTATAATTAATATACACTTGTCGACTTACTGTTGATATTCGGATGCATCATGCAATAGAACTACCTACTTTTCAAAATATACATGCATCATGCAGTTGGTGGTTCCAGTCTGACAATCATAATTTTATATAAATATAATTCCTTTCATCTACGCCTACCGAAACCTCCACCACCACCAAATCCTCCTCCTCCTCCAAATCCTTGAAAGTATCAAAAATCAGGAAAATGTGCAAGCTGGTAGAAGATATTCAACTGATCATGCTTTATTGAATTTTATTGCGGATTCAACTTAATCCAACTTATACCGGATCTGTTAAATACCCGAAAACGGCAACCACGCATTTTTTGGAAAAAGAACTAATGACCTAGACAATGACCTTAGAGGTCATTTGCATAAAAAAGTATTATAGTGTAGAAGTTCGAGGTCAACACCAATCTGCTGTCAAAAAAGTTGGATGCTACTTGAACCTACAAAGTTGACCTTGACCTGAAAGTATGTCATTTTTTTCCAAAAAATGCGGCGCTGCTAACCCGTCTAATTCCATACAGGGCCTTGAAATAGTAAAAAGTCCATTAATGATCCTTAATACTGTTTTTCGGATCATAGTCTTAAATCACGTTTTTTACATACAGGGTGTCCGCAAAGTAGGGGTTTTCCTTTTCAGAAACAACTACCCTTGAAATAACAAAGGTAATGTGTAGTAAAACGAGGGCGACCAAGTAAAAAAAAAATAAAGGAAAAAGTACTCACTCTCCAGTTGACGAGAAGGGCTAAGTACGTCTCTGCCCGAAATCATACCGCTCCAACAGAAAATGAAATCAGCTGAGGCGCTACCGAGCAGACGCAGGCAAACAAGGAAGGCAAAATGTTGCGTAAAAAGTTTAAGTATTGCACCCCGTCCAATCGATTTGGGAGAATAAATGGTCCAATGAGCATACTGTTCACCATGCCAGACCAAACATTCACCGAAAATGTTTGTTGAAAATGTGCCCGACGGACAGCGTGCGGATTTTCTACTGACCGAACATGAGTGTTGCGAAAGTTATTACGCGTGAACGTAGATTCGTCTGTCACCAATATGCACTTCAAAAAGTCCGGATTATTGTCATGTTGATGCAACAACCACTCACAAAACCGCACTCTTGCTGGAAAATCGTCAGGTTGAAGGGCTTGTACACGTTGGACGTGAAACGGAGTGAAACGCAGCGTTTGCCACACTTTAGTTTTTGATACTTGCACTGCTCTAGCCACGTCTGTAGTGCTTGTTGAGGGATTCTCGTCTACGCGATTACCTCTAGACGCGTGACCGTAACCGTCGGTTGAAGGTTGCATACTGACCTGACACACTGACCCCGACCCAGTTCTGTCGTCGGGTTGAGCTAGTGTCCTAGTACCACTCGGGATATCGCGGCTACAGGACGGTATTCAGATATATTTGATGTTTCAGAGCCCTTTATCTCGATTCTCTTAAGACATTGGTGTATATGGTATTAAGAAAAATTGCTTATGTTTTCAAAATCTACACGTCGTGTAAAGGAAAACTCCAACTTTGTGGACACCCTGTATAGTAAGAGTATCAGTAAGCAAGATTATTTCTAAGTCCTCTCATCTAGTCTCGTTAAGTCCTCCTCCGTAAACTCAAATCATGCGGGAAAAAGTAATAAACTAGAGTCATCAACCTATCAATAAATATTTACCTTCACCACCTCCACCTCTGAAACCACCCCCATGCCCTTGCAAAACAAAAAAGAATTAAATTTTTGTTCTAATGTTCTTGATACATCAAAATCGCCCAAATCTGTAGTAGGAGGATGTGAGGATGTCTTATTTGAAAGTCAAATGTCTTTCCCAAAGAAAAGGGCCTCCTTCTTCCACCTGAGGCCTCCTTATTGCACATTCAAGGCTTTAATGTTCTCCAAAAACGCATGAATTTGGCACTATGGGCTATGGAAGACACATAAAATTGATGCATGGTACCCAGAAGCAATAAGGCGCTTGACACTGAGGAGTTCTCAAAATAAAAGGGGCCCTTGCGAACGACTGTGCATTTAGGCTTTGTTGTATCTAGCATTTCAGAAGGTTCGATCCTACAGGAATTAAATTCTTCAAAGTGCCGATAAAGCATATTCTATACTACCATGCAATTGATCTAATATGGATGGATATTTACCTTTACCTCCGCCACCTCCAAATCCTCCACCTGCACAATAAGTAATAATAATAATGTAATTTTTCACTTCCAAGGTTAACCAACAGAAAAAAATCAATATATAAAGTCTATTCACCTTTACCAAAGCCGCCACCTCCTCCAAAACCGCCTCCGCCTCCACCTCCTCCTCCAAATCCTCCTCCTCCTCCAAATCCCCCACCACCTCCAAAACCTCCACCTCCTCCATAGCCACCACCTTTGTGACCTAGCCCCTGAAACAAAATGCTTTAGCTTCAAGTCGAGAAAATGGCGGGCAAAAAGTTATTAGATATGTCTTATTTGTTTGTAACTTTTCCAGACTTTTACAATCACTCAATATTTATTTCCTAATACTTCTACGTATTAATACATCATATACAGGGAAAACCAAATTTTTTAGACGGCCTGAGGTCAATGTGTGCACGAGAGAGAAGCACGAGGAGTGTATATCAACACATGTTCGGGTCAGCATTGCTAGGCAATGCAGTGAGAGCCTCTCAATCCAGCCGGCTTCCATCTCTTTCTAACATATGTGTTTATACACACTTCTCTCTCGTACACATCGAACTCAAGCCGTCCGGTAAATTTGGTTTTTAGTGAACGTCACTAATTTAAAGATGTTTCACGTAAAACGCGCCGGTGCTAAGTGTACCAGGAACATTCATATTCTATACAGAGTCTTCGAAGTTGAGTCATTTATTTTAACAGTGAGTAGATCTGATCAAAAGAAATGTTTTTTTCCTTTAACATTTTTCTGGTAAAATTAAAGTAACAAAGTTATAGCTCTTTAGAAGTTTGAGTACCGCCCTGTCTCAATAATAATATTATGTGCTCGTGTTTGGCCACAACGGATATAATCCGCCTTATCGGTTCATCGCATCGGAAACAGAAAAGTGAAAGAATTTGAAACGCTTATCACGATGTTTTTACTACAATTTTATTCAGTTGTATTCAGTCATTGTGTCAGTCGGTAACGCGTTAGTGAATAGTGGTGTTTGTTGCGTTAAAAAATGGCACATGTTTACGAAAATGCTGAACTTGTGGACATGATTCTTATTTACGGGGGGGGGGAGTCTTTACAAAATGCTGCCGCGGCATCACAGATTTATGCGGATCGGTTTCTCAATCGAGTGCAACCAACCCCTCGTGCCTTTGTTAATGTAGTACAAAGGGCTCGTGAATCAGGTGACTTAAGACCTCAGAGGGGAGGGCATGCCGGTGCTTCAAGACCGCACGATCAAATACAGGTCCGCACTGAAATACTTGTCTGGAGGATACTTTATAAAACAAGGTAACATAATTTTTTGAATTTTTTTTTTATTTTTACACACATATTTTGGTTTATCATCCTTCTACAATCATTATCTGAAAATTAATGACTCAACTTCAAAGTATATATATATATATATATATCATAATTTATTCTATACTTCTTCTTAGACTTTATCTTCTAGAAATGAAGCACAGGATCAATCCTTTGTTTCTGAACCATGTGATCTACATATAACGATCTTTTTTTTTACCTTAAAGATCCATAGACATACGTGAATGTGTCATATTTCTACGTCGATTTAGAAGTAAGCTTTATTTTAGTATGAAAAATGGATGAGTGTACGGATTGCTTTGCTAAACTTCCCCAATAAAGCAGTTTATCACAAAAGAGAGTCACGTAGAATCGCTCAGTACATTATCACGTTTGACCTTTAAAATATACAGGGTATTTCAAATTAGACCCTCATCATTAGTAACTCGGAAACTGTAAGAGATACGAAGTCGATTAACTGAGAGCAAAGCTGCATATTTAGCTAATCAACAAATTAATGCTTAGAAAGTTTCGAAATTCAAAGTATTTCCGGAGAGACAGAAAAGCCGAATTTCCCCAAAACCGTTTTAATTTTTTTACTGACTTTAATTGTAGTGGTATTTCAAAATAAATTCCAAATTAACTGTGGCACTTTTTCTCCTCTACAAGATTCCAATATGATGTTTCCTCCAGCATCAACTTCATTTTTCCCTATATGCCGTATTGGATTTTCAGGCAGATGAATATAGTACCTAATTCTGATTTGGTATGTCATACATTGACATTGTGAACCCCTACTTATTCCAGAAAAACAGAATTTTCTGGGTAGACCTTGAAATTATCAGATTTCATTTATTTCCTACACCAGACCAGATCTCAAATTGAACATAGCAACAGTTTGGAAGACTGAGAAGAAGAGAAATAAATCGAGCAGTGAAAATTCTGCAAAGAAGGGTCAGGCTTTGTCTACAAAATAACTGAGATTTCGAACATATGCTATGATTTGCGTTTGCTTATTTATGATTATTACCAACAAAAAAATGTTCATGTTGTGTTCAGGTTGCACCATACCTTTTTTTCGTATAATTATCATCTAACAACAATTATATAATTATATAACTAAAGAAGTAAATCATTGAATTAAGGGCTGAAAAGTACATTTAAATGTACAAAAATCCAATACAGCGTCCATATGAAAAAACAGTTTGGTGATGTTGATGAAGTTGAAAGAAAAAATGGTGAACTGAAGATTTGGCTAGGCCATTTTGAGGAGGAGAATAACTAACAATGACATGCAAATTATTTTGAATTCACTCAAGCCAAAAAAAAATAAACGTGATTTTGGGATAAAGCTGGCATTTGAAACAAATGATTGAATCTGATAATTTCTAGTCCTACCTAAAAAATTCTGTTTTGTCTTTTGAAATAATCAAGGTTTGGCAAGGTCAATGTATGACATCTTATATATTTTTGGAATCAGAATTTAAGACTCTATTTATCTGTGCAAGAATCCAATATTGCGACCATAATACAAAATAAAGTCTTCAGTTGTTTCTTTGAACTTAAGATTTTTTGGGTCATTGTGAACAAAAAGTGTTTTAATGAACTTTTTTCTAAAGTTCACAGTTTTAGAGAAAAAAGCGATTAAAGAAAAACGACAATGAAATTGTTTCCAAAGCACTTAAATATCCTTGATATATCAACAAAATTTAAAAACATTTTCGCGGGTACTATTATTGTAAACCTTTGTTTTTTAATTGTTAATCAAAGGCAAGCTAAAAGTATATATTTTGCGTTACACATTGATCATTGAAGCATATTGGCCTATATTGAGTTTTAAATAGGACTTACCGGATAAGGCTTAGCCTCGGAGAGACATACGTAACTCAAAAGAGCTACCGCACTAACCACAACGTACCACCTCATAATAGCCCACTTACTGTCCAGATCTGAGACCGGTATAATATTTTATATATCCTTGCAGGTAGATCCGTTCAAATAAGGTCAACACCTGGTTACGTAACACCTTTAATATGCAAGGCAATTCCTTAAAAAATTGACATTTGCAAAAATTACGGAGAATGTTATAATGGTTCTCAAGTGGCTCTTGATTGATTCTAACTTCCAGGTAAATATTTGCTGACTATTACTGCGAACTTGAGCCGACTGCTGAAAGTGATGATAATTGTGCCTGTTTGCAATTATGGTACCAGTGTAGGTGAAATAGTACTACTACACAATTCTTATCAAAACTTATCCTGAGGTTTTCAAATTCAAATTCATTTCTCCATGTTTTCTGGCCATTAAATGAAACCATAAATGTAGTCTTAGGTTTTTACTAAAGTTTCAGTCACCTCGGTGACTCGCTCTTTTATAAAGTACAGATCCAAAAAATCGCGTCAAGTAGGTTGACACAACGTCACAATCAGTTCGTAAGTCGCAAGTTATAACATTTGAGAAAAAGTTAGTTACGAACATGTATAATAAGGAAGTTAAGCTAATCAGTAAGTCGAACATGCCCATACATTTAGTCCATAGACCGTCTATCTGCCAACGTCGCTTCTCCTCGATAGCTGACCGAACCATTCGTCAGACGGGACAGCGCGGCACAGCGGCAGTAATGCCAGGACACTTACCAAGGCCGGACGCTCCTCGATGAACCCATAGAAGAGCGCATCGAAAGCACCTCTCTGACATCCTGTTTCAAGAGCAAATTTAGCACCTTTCGACTGTTATGGTATATTCGACTACATATGCTGTATCTGCATAGTTCATGTCCGAATTGCGATAAATAGTACATCGACATCTCAAGGGAACCATTTTTTTTATACTCGTATAACCTAACTCTATCCCAGGACACGTCTTCTTTTCAGGACTTGGATGAGATAGGATCCTTCATTGTGACTAGGGACACAAATTTATTCAGTCTGCAGTACCTTTTGAAAAGAATGCCCACCAAAAGGTTGCATCAAGCGTTTATCGTGAACTCTTTTCCATATCACTAAGTGCACATGTTTGTCCACAGTTGGTACTCTAGCGTTAATTCAAATTCAAATTAAAACGTTATTTGTTTAATATGCCATAGGATCAATAACAGTACTTTTAAATTTTAGTTTTTTGTTATTTCATACTTGTTGTTTATAGTTACAGTCAGATATCAATACTAGTTAGGTGCCTTTTTACCATAAAATTTACTGCTACAGTGGTTATAAAAGTAAAACTTTAATAGCGTAATCATTAGATATATGTTTCTTTGCGAATGCCTGCGTTGCTCAATCCTTTTGAAAGACTTCAATCGCTATAGATTTTTTTGTCTACTTCATAGATTCTTAGGTTTAGTTCTATTTTAATTGTGGGCGCTGCCCTCCATTGGTTAAGTAAAAAAGCTATCAGCTAGCGACCCTGTATTGTATTTTTTTAATTTATTGCCTATAGAAGTCAACGTGGCTGTTTATTACAATTATCATTATTTTCATTATTATATGAAAACAGTATCCAGGGGACCCAGAGCAAGGTCACTTCCCAAAACTAAAAATATCAGCAGAAAAGCAGCATTCCTGGATTAGAGTTGATCTTATCCTTAGAGATATAAAGGGTTGTCCAATAGGGACGCAGGAAAGTAAACGTCAATTTGACATAGACGCCATGTTTGTTTTCTGTCACCGACATGTCCTTTTGTTAGTTGAATGATTACTATTGATCGCTATGGAGTCGTATTCGATTGAAGACCGCATTAAAGTTATTCAAGAGCACTACAAAAATGGTGCAAAAATGAAAAACACGTTTCGCGCGCTTCGTGAACATTTTGGTCGTAACAACCGCCCAAACGAAACAACCATCGGTCGTCTGGTGCGTAAATTTGAGGCAACAGGTTCTGTGGCAAATCTGCCAGGCTCTGGCCGGCCAAGGAACGTTCGCACACCGGAAAATATTGCTGTTGTGAAGGAGAGTGTGAGAGACGATCAGAAACGATCAACAACGCGTCGATCCCAAGAATTGGGCATTTCGAGAACCAGTTTGCTCCGCATTCTCCACAAGGATTTGAATGTACACGCCTACAAGATCCAATTGACGCAAGAGCTGCGTCGGGCTGACCATTTTTCGCGCCGAACGTTCTCAGATTGGCTCCTTGAACACCGCCAAATTGATGCCAATTTTTCATCAAAAATCATGTTCAGCGACGAAGCGCATTTCACTTTGAATGGGACGGTAAACAAGCAAAACTGCCGCATCTGGGTTAACGAAAATCCCCGTGAGTATCAAGAGCAGCCGATGCATCCTCAAAAAGTGACTGTGTGGTGTGCATTGTGGTCAAAAGGCATCATCGGACCTTACTTTTTCGAAAATGCGGCCGGGGACGCCGTTACCGTCAATTCTGAGCGATATCACGTGATGATAGAGGACTATTTTTTGCCGCAACTAGAAGGAATGGATATGGACGATGTTTATTTCCAACAAGACGGTGCAACATGCCATACAACCAACGACAATATCCATCGATTGCAGTCCTTCTGCGGTGATTTTGCGCAGAAGAAATGTGCCATGGCCACCAAGATCGTGCGATTTGACTCCCTTGGACTTCTTTTTATGGGGATATTTGAAAAGCAAAGTCTACGTCAACAAACCAGCCACCCTCCAAGAACTCAAAAACAACATCATTGCCGAGATAAATGCCATAGAACCGACCATGTTGCAAAATGACATTGAAAATTTCGACCATCGCGTGGACGTCTGTAAATCCAGTCGTGTTGAACATTTGAGCGATATTATTTCTCATACATAAATGGTATCAATGAACCTTCAAAATAAAGTACCCAACGTGATTTGAATATCAGTCTTTCTTGTTTTAATATGCGTTTACTTTCCTGCATCCGTTTTGGACAACCCCATATTTGCCTCCAAGGCTGCTTGACTGTCAAATCATATAAAAATAGCGTTATAACCTATTTTTGAGAAGACCCCTGTATTACTGGATACATATTTCTGAAGGTTGATAATTCAATTTCAAAGAATAATTGCTTACTGAAATCATCTACTGTGAGAATTAAGATCTGGGATTTCTAACTACCTATCTAGGTACTTTACCTTTAATACTTTTTAAATCACGCTCATGAAATGTGTATTGTGCACAATAATTACCAGTATGGACTGCATATTGTCCAATTTTCTAAACCACAGATGCTATCTTTTGTCATATAATTTTTAACGACAAATTCCAGGATGATCGAAAATTACTCTTGATTCATTTGTAGGTAACATGTGATTATAAGTTGTACCTATAGACGTACAGGAACGATTGCTGCCTGGGAATTCTATAAGAAAATCAGAAATTATGTTTCTAGTGCTAGTAGGCGAGATAAAAAAGCCTACCTCGATTATGTTATGAGACATAAAAATTCGAAGACTACATGGAATATACTTAGATCTTTGAATATCGTTAAACATAACTCCATAAGTCTACCTCCACATCTTCAGGATCTCGATTCATTAAATAGTGCTTTTTTAAACGTACCTCAAACAACCAAATCATTAACTCAATTGAACCTTTTAGACAAATATGAAAACGTCAAGAATAGTGGTACTTTTCTATTCACGACAGTTTCCCCTGCCACTGTAGAGAAATTTATCAATCGCATCAAAAGTCATGCTAAAGGCTCAGATGGCATCACAATTGATATGATCCGTATAATACATAAGCATTCGCTCAAGTATATTACCTTCATTATTAACTTTTGTATAACAAATAATCTTTATCCCTCTTCCTGGAAGAATGCTCTTGTTCTCCCTCTGCCTAAATCTAATTATCCTTCAAGTTTTTCTGATCTTCGTCCTATAAGCATTTTACCAAGTTTATCTAAGCTTTTGGAAATGGCTCTACATGTGCAGCTGCACACATTTGTTTGTCAAAATAATTTACTGACCACCTCCCAATCTGGCTTCAGACCATTACATAGCACCACCACTGCGCTCCTGTCTATATCGGATAATATTTATAGCGCGGCTGATCAAGGAAAGCTGTCCTGCTTAGTTCTTCTTGATTTTAGCAAGGCCTTCGATACGGTTGACCCAAATATTCTCTGTAAAAAGCTGAGATACTTTGGCCTGTCATCATCGGCTTGCACGCTGATTAAGAGCTTTTTAACTGATCGCTCACAGTCTGTCATATATGAAAACAATATATCAACTTCTTTATTCAGAAATTTTGGTGTCCCTCAAGGATCTATTTTGAGTCCCCTTTTATTTGCTCTTTATATATGTGATTTTCATGAAACCGCCAGCAACTCAATCGTTCATCATTACGCCGATGATACCCAACTTTATAACTGCTTCGTTCCTGATGAATATATGCTTGACCAACATCAAATAAATCAAGACCTGCAGTCTATTTTTGACATATCTAGTGCTCACAATCTATAACTAAATCCTGGCAAATCATGCCGCATTTTATTTGGGCCCAAAAAGAATCGTGAAATAAATCAATATCGCATTAATATTATGGTGAATAATGAAGACATATCCTTCGTAAGCGAATGCAAAAACCTTGGTATCTGGTTTGACTGCAAGCTACGCTTCACTAAACATGTTAACCAACTATGCAATGCCTCCTATAATGTGCTTCGTCAGTTATACCCGAGTCGAAGTGTCCTGTCGACACAGCTCAAGCTTAAACTCTGCGAGTCCCTTATCCTGTCAAAATTATCTTACGGTGACTCTGTTTATGGATCTGCTCTTTTACAACGTGATGCCGAGCGGATTCAGATGATACAAAACTCATGCATCAGATTTTCTTATGGAATCCGTAAATTTGATCATATTAGTAGCGCTTTTGACCAATCGGGATGGTTTAAGATGAACAAATTGAGGAAACTGCATTGCCTATCTCTGGTACATAAGACCCTTATCCTTAAAGCGCCATATTATCTTTATACAAAACTAAGCCTCCTTTGCCAGTACGATCAAAGATCCTCTAGGAATAAACTCATCTTACTTATCCCGCGGCATTCGACAGCATTGTTCACACGCAGTTTCTCGTACTGGGCACCCAAACTATATAACTGCTTATCAAGTGAGTATAAAGAATATAGCCTAAGCAATTTTAAAAAAAGGTTAAAGATGAGTTTAAAGCAGTCGGATGGCTAAAATTTTACTTTATGCATATCCACAGGTAATTGATTGTTTCCTTTCTCTGATAAGTGTTATATTCTAAGTTTTTTTTTCTCTCTCTCTATAGTTTGTGTCAATGTTTTCCAGGTCGGGTTGAAAAACAGCATAAGCTGACACTCCACCTTTTCGTCACTGTTCCTTTTAAACCAATTATTTAAACCAATTATTTTGTAATCGTGTGACGAATAAAGGCTATTTATTATTATTATTATATTATAGATAGATGAAAAAACGCAGTCAACCAGATTGACTCGCTACCCGTTGATCGTGTAAAAAATAAGAAAAACAACATTAATAATAAAATTTATTGGCAGGAATATATTATTACAAAATACTATACAATTTGGCACATATACATTTTTTTCGTGAAGGCATCCAGCTCACTGGTGGGAAAGGTAGTTCTAAGTTCTAGCCTGAAACAAGAAGAAAAATGCTAAACAACTCTACCTTAATTGGCTGAGCTACTAGAAGATCAAGATATCTAGAATTTTAGGAAAACAATCATTATATATCAAATTTTTAATTTTTTACTTATTTCTTCACCGCTAAATGTGAAAGCATTCAAGAAATGTTAGCAGCTTTGTGTCAAAGTACCAGTGAAATCCGAGTACTAACTTCTAAGCTACAGTGACACTTGCCTGTAGCTTTTTCAGACAAACTATTTCTAAGACTTCTGTTCTATACAGAAATTGTTTCATCTATAATATGTATAATCATACAATTGAATTCTGGACAGTGCACACGTCATCACAACAGTCAGCTCTAAAAGCATACTAAGACTCTCTGAATCACCCCCTCTATTTCTGCTTATGACTGAAGTGACGGCTGCTGCAGCTGTCCTCAGATAGATAGATAATTTATTGGTCCTTCAGATTATACAATAAATAATTTGAAGCGACAAGTCAGGTAGGTACAAGTTTCAAAGACATATACAAAAAACAGACATAACAACAATAGAGATATACTAAAAGGCGCTATGATTCCATGATATATCTGCTGATAGTACTTTTAAGAGAAGTCAGTGATGACTGATGTTTGAATATTATTTGGCAATGTGTTGAATAGTTTAAGAGATGAGTTGTGTGTGATTTTTTCTGTTGATTCTAATCTGTGCAATGGATACATGTACCTTTGGTTCACGAGAGTATTCTATGTGTGATTAGAAGTACGTTGTTTAAAAGTTACTCGATTTTTGAATAAAGAGATTGAGATAGAATAAATGTAAATTCCAGATCATGTCAACAGTTTGTTTAAAAACTCATCGGCATGATTTGGTATTATATGATTGAATATGCAAGTCCATAGTAGGCTCTGTGTGCTGAAAATGTGCTGCTGTGAAATGCGCGTGAATTCCATACGGCGACAAAAAAGAGCGAGAGCGATTTGATTGTGATTGTTTGGAGATGACTTTTTGACAATCTTACCTTATACTTTATTGGAGTATGCTCGGCTTTTTACCTCCTCATTACCGTCCGTATCCTCCTCCACTACCTCCACCGCCTCCTCCGCCTCCACCACCGCCACCTGAAAAAAATTCAAAACTCTCATTTTTTCGTCTTTCGTCTGTGTTCTCAACACAGTCGGGTTAAAATTAAAAAAATACGCTTTGGGATATCGTCTCAGCCCATAGAAGTTGTCTGAAAAGTTCCGGAACCCAAAGATGATTTATGAACTAATATTGGTTGGAAAAAAGATAATTGATATGAGTTTTCCCCAGCTATCCAATGCTGACCTTAAATTTAACTTTGACCATGACCTTTAAGGTCATTTGAAGGCCGGGTCAATTTTTTTAAACGAAAGCTTCCATTCTTGACCTCGTACATGGAAAAGCGGAAAGTTTTACGTTCAAATATGGTCTTGATCATTTTTAAATTTTGGCCTCAGAAGGTCATGGTCAAGCTCAAACCCAGGTACGGTGAAATAACTTGAAAGCCAGTAGTTGTATAGGGAAACTACCGAGACACCATTTCTATGATTTTCGCTGGATATACAATCTTTTTAATAACATATAATTTTGACCTTGGAACTGGAGAAAAGGGAAAATTTTATGTTCGAATATGTGCTGGACCATTTTAGGAACTCGACCTTGGACTTAACATTAAGGGCAAACACAAATTCACCTTAAATTCTTATAACTCAGAAAACTTTTAATCCCCAGACAAACTGACCTCCCTGTTCTTTCAGATAGATAATAGGTCACTTAGAGGTCAAGTTTGTACATTTAAGTAGGAACCACATTTTTATAGAAGATTCATGTAAATGGAGAGCTTGAGATTTAACACCAGATTGTAGAGTTATTTGAATCTGTAAACTGACCTCTGAGCTCATCATCTATGTGATATCTACGACATGCTGTTTTTTGATATCCTGAAACTTGAAACCATTATAAAAAAATGGGTGGTTGTCAAATTTTCGGAGTGACAGCTCACTCTTACGATTTTATAGTAGATCATACTGATTGGAATATTTGCAACCACGTGACTTCATGTACAAAAATGTATGTTGATGCACAATCTTAAGCTATACACGATTACCTTGACCTCCAAATGACTTCTGAGGTCATTATACAGGGTGTCCGCAAAGTTGGGGTTTTCCTTTACACGACGTGTAGATCTTGAAAACATAAGCAATTTTTCTTAGTACCATATACACCAATGTTTTAAGGGAACCGAGATAAAGGGCTCTGCAACATCAAAAATATCTGAATACCGTCCTGTAGCCGCGACTCGCGATATCCCCGAGTGGTACTAGGACACTAGCTCAACCAGACGACAGAACTGGGTCGGGGTCAGTGTTTCAGGTCAGTATGCAACCTTCAACCGACGGTTACGGTCACGCGTGTAGAGGTAAACGAACCCGTATAATCGATTGCGTTTCAAAAAACAACAAGCACTAGAGACGTGGCTAGAGAAGTGCAAATCTCATAAACAGAAAGCATATTGTCGAATACTTCTATCAAAGTACTTGAGATGAAAAGTTGTTCACTATAATAGAAACGAAAACGAGGTTGACTCCATCCGATGTGACGTCCATCCTGGCAAAGACTAGAAGTTCTAATTTCGTAAAGAAATCCATGAAGAATTTCATGAATTTAGTTGGCGACAAATTTCTGTTGTACACTTTTAAAATTTGGTCATGAACTCAATTCAAGAAGAAATCTCTGGACTTATGGTCAAGGTAAAACGGCTATTAGGATTTCTTTTGATATTTTTGTACTTTTCAGAAGTTACAGTAAGAGTTAACAGACTATACATGAAGATATCCAACATAATGCTGTATTCGCCCGTCCAAAAAATTATCCAAAATAAAATGGGATTTCGTAGTGTCATTTATGAGAATTTGTCACAGTTCTGCCTCTATTTACTATATATACTTTGAAAAGGTGAGGTGACGCTGCCTACATGGAGCATATACAAGCATACAGGTATCATATTTATTCTTTAGCATGCGCATATGTAGCATTAGGTTGACTATATTCAGATGGAATACGTTAATCAATGGTTATATTGATTAGACCACTTATGATGGTGGTTGCCATTTGACTTTTCAAACTTGACATCCAGTGAGTGAGGTAAATTTTATAGGTCACATATTAGGTCATCGACAAATTTTATGATATCCTGGAAATTTTGTAATAACCTTTTTCAGAAAGAAAAAATTCGCATTTACCGAGTATTCTGGGTGCTGGGGTATTTGATAGGTTCTATGATAACGGGATACCATTTGATAAAAAAATTACCTCCTCCTTGTCCGTAACCTCCTCCACTTCCGTATCCAGAGCCTCCCCCACCACCATGTCCATAGCCTCCTCCACTACCGTGTCCAGAGCCTCCCCCACCACCTTGTCCATAACCTCCGCCGCTACCATGGCCAGAACTTTCATGTCCTGAAAAATGAATTTTGCTTGTAAGGTACCCGGGGGTAATAAGGCCCACCAGATATTTCAGGCCCAACGTTGGTTTGCCCAAAGGAAGGCGCCTAAAATATTTATATCGCCATCTGTTAATAATATTTAGTATTACAGTTGCCGGAAATGTAATTTTGTTCTATGGTTATGAGCTTCCTGGCTTGTTCTATGGTGTCACGTTTCGCTGTGCTGTATTTTATAAGAATTTCGACAGGTAAGTAAGCAAATTAAATTGTTTTAATAATACGTAGATTTTTCATTATGTATGCATGATAATCTATGTATGTGATAGTTTCATTTTACGTAGCGTTTCTTTTTATGTTGGGTTTGTTTGTTGTTTAATAACCTCGAAATTAATTTTATTGTGCTACAGGTTATAAGGCCCGGGCCTTATTTTCTACAATGCATTGGAAAAGGCTTGGGCTTTATTTTCTGCCGCCATGAATACACGTATTCATTAGATCTATTTATTCTTTTACAGAAGATAGGTAAAAAAAGCAGAGGGATAAGGGCAAATTGGGATGAAGAGATGATGAGAGAGGCATTAAATTATATTAACGAGGGAAAATCTCAGCGCTGGGTGGAACAAAAATGCGGAATACCCAGACGAACACTTAGGAACCACATTAAATCACAAAGCGTGAAGAGAAAACTAGGTAGACAAACAATTTTGACCGATAATGAAGAGACTGACCTTGAGAATAAAATAATTCGGTTAGCCGATAAAGGTTTTCCGTTAACACCAGAAGCATTAAGAAGGTCTATGTTCAGGTATGTTGAGCAAAAGAAAATTAAGCATTGTTTCAATCAGGAAACTCGTCTCGCTAGTAGGGAGTGGGTAAGGACTTTTCTGAAAAATCATCCGAGAATATCAAAACGTTGATCTCAATTCATGAATCCAGCAAGAGCCCAAAAATTAAATCGTTTTATCGTAGAAGATAATTTCAAAAAACTAGGAGATTTGTTGGAGCGCACTCAGTTAAAAAATAAAGAAGCAAAAATTTATAATACGGACGAGAAGGGTTGCCGCTTGACTCTTCACCACCAACAAAACGTTCTGGCAGCCAAAGGAGCAAAACGAGTGCATGTAATTTCTCATGAACACGCCGAAAACGCAACTATCGTCGCTTGCGCTAATGCTCTCGGACATGCCATACCGCCTGTCATTCTTTTTAAGGGCAAGAGAATGAAGGCAACCTACTCAGAGGGCTTACCGGCTGGCTCAAAAGTTATGATGACGCCTAAAGGGAGCATGACGATAGAAACGTTATAAGAGGTTAGACCATTTCATTGAATACATGTCGCCTCCGCCAGTAATTTTAATTTTTGATGGGGCCAAATGCCATTTGGATATTAGCATTGCTGAGAAAGCAGAAGCTCATGAGATTCACTTATATTGTCTGCCGAGTAACACCATCCATGAGCTTCAGCCGATGGACAAAGCTATATTTCGAGCATTTGAAGCTTATTGGGACGATGAATTGTTAAAGTACTGGGATAAACATCCTACACGTGATTTAAACAGGGAAAGATTTTCTGAATTATTCACACCTACATGGCAGAAAGCAATGTCCATTGGAAATATTACGAGCGGCTTTCGAGCTACGGGAATATGCCCTTATGATAAGGATGTTCTTGCCATTGAAGCATTTGCCCCAAGTCTTGCAACTGAGAAACCTCACCAGGAGACGACCGCCGCTGCCGATGATTCGGAATATGATTCAGATGACTACCTGCCTTTAAGTGAATTGCGTAAAAAATTAATCCCTTTGAATAATTCCTTCGCGGAAGTGTTACCAACACCAGATCTAGTCAAAAAAAAAAAATCTGCTCCAAGACGTAAAGCTATAAATTACAAAGCAGTTGAAGTCAAGCGATCCGTATTTTTAAAGGAGGTGGAGTCTCAACTTGATCCCGTTCCAGTCTTATCGAATACCGCTAAATCGCCATCTGAATCTGTGTCTTCCATTGCATCAAAAACAAAAGAACATAACTAAGAATGGCACTGTGTGATTTGCTACGAAGACTATGTAGCAGATATGAGACGATGTGCTTCTTGTGGTTTTTGGGTCCATGAGGATTGTGCTGGTTTGACTGCGGATGATACTGAAAATTTTTTGTGTCAGACTGTATGCCTTAAGTATTAGATTTATACTTAATACCATATTTTATCTTTGATACTGTTTTTTTAGCGTGTTACATTTATTTTTTATTTTATCAGTATTTTGTTGAACTGTTATTTTTTTTATCTCTCATTCAAATCTCATTATATGTCGTTGCAGATATTAAGGCCCAAAGGGATATTTTTGATATTTGTGTTTGGATACCATTATTTTAATATTTTCTTTTTATTTTTTGATTTCTTTTTGTGTTTTGTTTATTCGTTTGACTTGTTTTTTGTTCATTTAAATATGGGCCTTATTATATGCACTTGCATGCTTTAAGGCCCAGAAGACAATTTTTTTAATGCTCGCGTCTCGACATATAAGCATGATTATTTTGTGTTCAAACATCACCATTATGTTAGTTTATACCCTTTTTTATTTTTTATAATAATAAAAGTTTGAAAAAGTAAATTTCTCTCGTAGATACTAATTATAATTTCTTAGGTGGGCCTTATTACCCCCGGGTACCTTAGTACATCTAGCTTTGTATATGGACTCCTCACAGCTTATGCTTACAGTAGAGTTGGTGACATCGCTATTCTTGAATATTTTTTGATATCGGCGCGACGTGATCGCGGCTTTCGAATAACGTTCGGTGAGGTGCATTGAGATGTAAATCCGGAATTATTTCTAACATATAACATAACAGTTATCTTTATTTGCAAATACAAATGCTATACAAAAGCTTTAAACCACTTGTGATACAAATACTGTTCCAAATAACGCTAATCTATGCTTAGGAACGGTCACTCGCAGCCCCAGTAACTATGAACAAACTCTATGTTTTCATTGGATATATGTAGCACTCTTGAAAAAGCACTCCAACAACTGTTGAAATACCGAATTGCTTGATATGCTTCTACATGATTCATTTAACTTCAAACCCAAAATATTTCTCAAAGCTCTCTTTTGCATACAAAAATTTTATCAAGGTCACTACAATTTCCGAATAACATAATTCCATATCTCAATCTAGATTCAAAATTCAAGTGATATACAACTTCCAAAGTTTTTCTATCCAAATGTTTAGCAATAACCCTTATCGGATAACATTTATCGTGTTGAGCTTATTTCTTAAGTAACTTATATGGTTGTCTCACCTCAAGTAACTATCTAATCCAAGACCAAGAGACCTTGTATCGTCAGACACTGTAATTGTTGTACCATTAAGACATGTTGAATTTTCAAAAGTTGTTCGTTATTTGTGAAAAGTTTGGTGAATTATATTATCATATCCTGTGTAGTGACTTACAGAAAATGGTGTTTTTAGTGAAACTTGACTAAGACGCTTAATTGACCTATGACTATTGAAAATAATTTCTAATTTGGGCAGCTAACGGAATCGTCAGGAGCTCATAGTTGTATCTAATTATTTATTATATAATTCTAAGCAAAAAAGCACGATAAAATCTCATGGCTCGGGCTACCAGAACCTGCAAGGCACGATATGGCTTACAGCCCATGTGATAGTCGTACGAACTAGCCCGCATATGCAACCCGCACATATACTAAGTGACATATAAATCCGAACACCCAGTTTAAATGGTTTTATTTTAATAAAATTTTGTATAAGTACTTAATGAAGCATAATAAGTGAATGATAAAAATTTCAAAATGATTGCACTGCTTTAAAGCCCTTTGACCTTTAATAATGTGTGGATGCACCCTGATGTGCTACGCATTCTCCAACGCGCCTAGGCATGCTTCTGATCAGGTGGTCAATGTCCTCCTGTGGTATCTCATTCCAGGCAACCACCAACTCCTCTCGAAGTGCTTCTAGAGTCTGAGGAGGACGTTGCAAATTGAGCAATCTCCTACCCATCATATCCCACACGTGCTCAATTGGGGATAAGTCGGGAGATCTTGGTGGCCATGGTAACAATGTGACATCATTATGTTGAAAGAAGTCTATTGTGACTCTTGCAACATGTGGTCGGGCATTATCTTGTTGGAAAGTTGGATCTGCCAGGATGTCAAGATAGGGTAAAAGATGGGGTTCTAGAACTTCGTGGATATAACGCTGCGCGTTCATGTTACCTCTGATGAAGAATAAAGGTGACCTGGAACCATAAGCTATAGCACCCCAAACCATAACTCCAACAGTGTGATAAACATGTCCTTCAACAAAAAACTGTGGATTCCTCCTTTCACCGCGTCGCCTTCTAACCCTGGCACGACCATCGTGCATGCCTAAACTAAATCGAGACTCGTCACTAAAGACAATACTGTTCCATTCCTGATCCCAGAGTGACCGTTGTCTGCACCACTCAAGGCGATTACGTCGGTGTTCTCAAGTTAAAGGGAGGACCCAGTGTGGCCGGTATGAAAACAAGCCAAAACTTCTCATTCGTCGGTAAACACTTCGAATGCCAATAGGTCTTCTGTGTTCTGCAAACCATTCATTTGCAATGGACCTGGTAGTGGAGAAACGGTCCCTTAAGGCCAATAATCTTAGGCGGCGATCTTCACGGTCTGTTGTTCTACGGCGGCGTCCAGTGCCCCGCTCTTTGCATACGGCCTTCTCGAAGCCATGCCTGACAACACCTAACCACAGAGTCTACACATCTTTGCACTCTAACTGCAATTGCCCTAAAAGAAAGTCCAGCTTCCTGAAGTCCCACTATACGGCCCCTATCAAACTCACTAAGTTGACGAAATCGTACAGGTTTCCGTACTCTAGGCATCGTAACCGATCGTAAGGGATGTCAAGAACCAAAATCCGCCAACGTTGATTCTTTACTGCGGCTGAAATATTCATTTTTAGAGCGTTAGTGAATTAAAAAAAAGCAGTATAAAAACCGGAATGTCCAACTGATAAGGCTGAAAATTTTTTCACTTGTTATTTACAGTAAGATAAATACATTCACCAACTTTTATTAAAATAAAACCATTTAGACTGGGTGTTCGGATTTATATGTCACTTAGTATATTCAAACATTATCGCCGGTGACCTAAAGCGCCTAGTAGATGCCCAAGTCGTAACAGCGACACGTTTTTTCACGATATGTGATAACACCCGTGATTAGTAGTTTGGAAATATCAGTTACTAAATGACAGTCCGTGAAATACCTGTCACCACTAACAATAATAGTTTATTTAAGCCAAATAAAAAAAATAGCACAGGTCAACAACAAATGAGATAAAATCGTGTCCAGTAACATATTAATTAACAAATTAGTGTTTTCATAAGAAAGACGCTCAACGAACAGATACTTAAACGTAACATTGAAGCACTGACTGCCGTTAAGAACGAGGCATTTTGAAACATATAGACAAAATTAAGGGACCATATCACTGAAATCGTTTTTCAAAAATTCGTTCAAGCTATAAAAGCCTTATTTTGAGGATATTTTTTAGAACCTCCTTAAAGTCCGTTGCATCAAGGCTTTGACAAGGTTCAGGCAACGCGTTGAAAAGCTTGACCCCAAAATAATAACTACAGCATTTGGACTTATAAAGTCTTGTCTTATATATCAGTCATGCCTCAACTGCTTGTTATTGCAATTCTGTTAAAATAGCGATCTTTCTGAATATTTGAATATATCGGAATTTTTAAGTTCTATCGGAGAGCTCTCCCTTTTCTTACCTGAACTGGATTCCTGCTTTTTATCGTTTTTGTTAGTATGTCGCACTCCAATGCCAATATCTCGATTTTTTGAAGAACTAAATCCAAAACCACCTCCAGGTCCAGCTCCAGAACCTATCGAGGTTTCCTTGCCAAGGTTAATGCCCTTACTCTGAAAAATGTGCGTTCACAATAATGATGGATGGAAATGTATACATTACAGAGAGATGTGCTAATATTTCTAGGACAGAAAGCACATTGAACAATAACAAAAAACCCCTATCCAGATACGAAGTTAAAAAAAACTATATCTGCGGAGAGAGTAAATGTAATGAGTTGAGATTTTAGACATTGGGTTTACACATGGTAAGCAATAAACACAAAAAGTTTCCCGGGCCAGCCTAAACCAGGGACGTAGAAACTGCGGAACCCGGACACCTATACTACAACTATTTAAAACTGTAATGACTCATACGCGTGATCAACACGTGATCGGAGCTCGATCCCGGCTTCCTTCCAGTACAGCCGTATAGCGTACGACATATGTCGTTTCTGTGGCTTTGCTGTGGTCAACAGCACAGACAGAGATGGAAATAATGGCTGATTGTTCTCCGCCGGTAGAACCAATGAAATCAAAGACGCGCCTCGACCGGCAGACTCATAGGCGTCGGCAACGCATTGGAACGTGTTTCGTTGAGCGATCGCATATTGTGTGTTTTTATAAGAATTGTTGTATGATTGTTATTGTTGTGGTTTCTGTGGTTACTGTTTTGGTTATACTTAACCATGGAGAGTACAAATGGCACGAGTGGAAGTACTGAAAGCCAGGGAACAAGTAGACGGCTTCGTAAAGCACTGAAGAGGGACGCGAAAGAAATCGTACTCAACGTGTTCAATTATCTGAACAGAACTATTTCGCAGGGAGATGCATTCGCGCGTTGTGAAAGTATGACAGGCGTTCCAGAGTGGACCATTCGCAGGGTGATGCATGAAAAGAAGAAAACTGGAGCTACTACTGATCCAAAGTTTAATTTGAATTGACGAAAGGCCGTTAAATTGGATGACGATAGCAAAATTGCGTTAAGGCGAACCGTACATTCATTCTTCTTTAGGAATGAGATACCAACCCTCAAGGCTGTACATGCAGCGATCAAGGAAAATGAAATTATACCCCAAATGAGCGTCGAGGTAATGAGGAAATCCCTGCACGAAATTAATTTTCGTTACGAAACGCGTAATCGGAAGTCAGTATTGATAGAGAGACCTGAAATAGTTGCCTGGCGTCGAAAATACCTACGCAAAATGATTGAATATAGGCGACAAAGCAGAAAAATCTATTATTTGGACGAGACATGGGTGAATGCAGGTCACACAGTTAAAAAAACCTGGATAGACAAAAACGTAGTGAGTAACCGACAAGCAAGCATTGAAGGTTTGTCAACAGGTCTTCGTGGACCGTCAGGGAAAGGTCAAAGATTGATCGTAACTCATATTGGTAGCGATAGTGGCTTTTTAGAAGAGTGTGACTTGATTTTCGTCTCTAAGAAAGCAGGTGATTACCATGACGAAATGAATGCCAGCTGCTTCGAGAGCTGGTGCTTCAGCGAGTTGAGCCCAACTCTGTGGTCGTCATGGATAATGCTTCCTACCATAGTCGTCGAGCCGAACGTGTACCGACTATGGGATCTCGAAAAAGTGACATGCAGCAATGGTTGCGCGAAAAAGGAATCCCGTTTGACGATTCATGTGTGAAAGCGGAATTGTATGAAAAAATTAAACAGCACAAACCTGCGAACACTAGTTACGTGACTGATGAGATGGCCCGTCAATGTGGTGTCACTGTGCTGCGGTTACCGCCCTACCACTGTGAACTGAACCCAATAGAGCTCATCTGGGCTCAAGTGAAGGGTTCTATTGCGCGCCATAACACAACCTTCAAATTACCAGACGTTAAGGTTTTACTTGAGACTTCCATACAGCTAGTAACGCCCGAAGCTTGGCAGAATGCTATCCGTCATGTTGTGAAGGAAGAAACAAAAATGTGGCAGCTTGACCACCACATCGACACCATCATAGAGCCAGTTATAGTCAATTTCAACGAGGAAAGCGATAGCGACAGTTTATTACTGTCAGGTGTAAGTGGAAGCGACGATGAATAAAGGTAATTCCCAAATTTTTGACTTACAATATGTTTCAAACCACTCTTTATTAAGCATGTGACAAATGTAGTTCACCCATGTTAAACATTCATACCCCGCCTATGAACAGCCGACTACTGGTAGTCAAGTGATGTTCACGTGAACATCGATGAGTCATTACAGTTTTAGATAGTTATAGTATAGTAGAAAATATTATCTAGACCATTGGCCTTTTCGGAGAAAAAGAGCGTATTTTATGAGATGTCATTCAATTTTACATATATTTTGTCTCTTAAAGATTTTTTGTCAGATCACTCGTTTTGGAAACATTCAGGTTTGGCTATTTGACGTAACATCCTAAAATATTCTTATGAAAAGGTTTAGCCTCCTATATTCTTGAAAACACCATAAGAATATTTTAAGATTTTACCTTAAATATTATATGTTCAAAGCGAATGATCTGTCAAAAATTCTTTAAGTGAAAAAGTTATGCAAAATTGTATTTTATCAAATGCACTTCTTTTCTTCGAAAAGGCCAGTGGCGAGGTAAATATTTCCTATTAGGGCTCCAGGTGCCCCAGTGTTTACGTCCTGGTTTAGTTCGGGACTGGAAATTTTGTGTTTATTGCTGATGTCGTGCTCACCGCTCCGTAGATACATATTTTCTTAAATTTCATAAATAAAACTTCATCATCCTGTGTCTCAGTAGGGTAGCAATTTTGGACCCATATTTATAAGGAACCTTTCTTGTTATTTTACAATGTTTCAAAAGCAGACCCCAAAAGGAATAAAACATATACAAACTAGAAGAAAAAGACACATTTTTGAATTCAATATTCAAATACATACAGGGTGGCGCATTGAAAACCAAACAGACGCATTTACTGGCAGCTCAGTTTTTTTTTGAAAAAACGCTCAAAACCGTCGATTTTGTTTTCGAGGGGGACACAAGTTTGGCAAAACATCACTTTAGCACGTGCAGCCCCCTAAGCGGGGGTGACACCACCCCCAAAATCTTAAATGGAAAGGGGGGTCGAGTAATACCTTATTTTAAAGGTCTATCAATTCCCTTTATAATGATATAAAATTAATGTGCTTCAGTTCAGTAGTTTTGAAGATTTATTGATTTAAAGCTTAAATAAAACTAATACATCATCATTAGTGGAGATCAATACATCTGTCAGAAAAGTAATTTAAAAATGAAGAATGAACTGACCCGTTAGGCAAGTAAATGTTGAAAATAGCCACCATAACTCTCCATGCAATAATCCTGCTCGAAACGTTCCCGCATATTTTGCAATATTTGAGGAGTAATTTGAAGCACTCATTCACAATTCTTTGTTGCAGGTCTTCTAATGATGTTGGCTGAATAGCATAGATTTTGCTTTTTAAATGACCCTACATAAAGAAATCCAAAGGTGATAAATCTGGCGATCTTGGGGGCCACTCAATGGCACCTCTTCTACCAATCCATCGATCTGGAAACGTCTGATCTAAATATTGTCGAACCCGTAATGCGTAATGTGGTGGGGCACCATCCTGTTGGAACATCAACCTATCCGCAATGTACCGCCGATCATTCTGATTTTCAATTATGGATGTTAATGCAGGATCTATGGCGTCTTTAGTAATTCCAAATACATTTCACCGGTCAAATTTCCAGGTCAGAAAAAAGGACCAACTAAATGATCGCCAAAAATTCCAGCCCAAGCATTTTTTGTGGCTGCTGTGTATGAACCGCATGATAAATTCTGGGATTAGAATCGGACCAATATCGGCAGTTATGACGATTTACTACGCCATTTAAGAAAAAGGAACATTCGTCGGAAAAGCAAGTGTTGAATAGAAAATGTTCATCGTTTATCATTTGTTCACTCATATCTTCAAAAAATTATAATCGCCGATTAAAATCATCTTCATTAAGTTCTTGTACCAGGTGATTTTTATACGGATAAAAACTATGGGCCTTTAGAATCTGTACGTCGACTAACATCACAAACAGTCTCCAATTTGCGGGTACTTAGCGTAGGATCTACATAAACTTGCCCTAAAACCCCCACTTCTATTGCTTCGTTCCTTATGGGATTTTCAATGTTGGGTTTTTTGTGGCGACTGACCCAGTTTCCCGAAATTTAGCTACAAGTTCTGGAACATATTTTCGATGCACGTTACTGTTCTCATGTCGCTCATTAAATATTTCTGCTGTTCTTTTAGCGCACTGATTATTTCCGAAAAATATTTCGATAATTTCAACTCTTTCTGCTGTGGAATATACCATGGGGAATTTATGTAATAAAGCGTTACAAGTTATTTTAGCAACAAAGTTTGGTCAAATCAATCGCAAACTATGTACTAAATTTCTATTTAAAATAAGTGCGAGATATTTCCTTATCTTTCTTCAAGAAATAACTTTTTTGCCACAAAAAACGCTCTAATAGCTATTTCCAACAACAAAATGATAAACAAACCATGGGCGTAGTGAAGAAAAGCATTTACTTATTAAGTGAATTCTTTTAGTGTAATTTCTTCTGAAAGTAGTGCAAACTAATCTGATGTACCTATTAAAGTATGCTTTAAGCTTTAAATCAATACATCTTCAAAACTACTGAACTGAAGCTCATGTATTTTACACATTATAAAAGGAATTGAAGGACCTTTAAAATAAGGTATCATTCGACCCCCCTTTCCATTTAAGAGTTTAGGGTTGGTGTCACCCCCGCCCAGGGGGCTGCACGTGTTAACGAAAACAAAAATCGACGGGTCTGAGCGTTTTTCAAAAAAAACACTGAGCTGCCAGTAAATGCGTCTGTTTCGTTTTCGATGCGCCACCCTGTATATAGTTTGAACATTCATCAACATATCTCTTTTTGTTTCAGTAATTGATTGCTGTTTACGAGCCAAAAGTTCGCAATTTTGACATTTTTGTTCAAAGTTCATAAATGTTCGAATATTCAACTTACTATTTTTTTAGCGTTGCGTGCATGTGGCCAATATAACAAGTGAGCATTTTTTGAGTATAAGATTAAATTAAATTTTTAAACTGATAGGAATTAATATTAATAATAATATGAATACAAAGCTTTGAAAGCTTTAAAAGTCGAGTCAAAATATTTGTCTTTTTGCAAGGGATGCTAGATGAGGGAGGAGTTCAGAAATCGTATCGTTGACACTGTTCAGAGACTGAAAAGATGCTTGAATTCAGAACGGTTTTTCCTAGCGCTTTCAAAAGTTGGTATTGCAGCTTTCCATAATGCATAGGGTATTGACGAGAAATTGAAATATCGTATAATAACTTCTACTCACCAGAGTTAGGGCCGGTGCTGCATCTAGCTCCAAAACACAAACCACTCCCAAAATTAACACTAAACCTACTGTAATGGCTCTCATCTTTGCACTGATACCGGTTTCGGGAATATCAACTATTTATAATAATCTTCTTGTCCCAAATAAATGCGTAATATCTAGTAGAACTTTTGAAATGTTTATGAAGATAATGAGTTTGTCCCCAGCTATTAATTGCCGTATGATAATTTCGTGCATCTAATCTGAAGCAGGTTTTAGGATCATAAAAACATGGTCCATGTGCTTGAATACGTATTACGGAAAAGTAAGGTCGTATTTTTAGACAAAAATACAAATTGCTAGTCATTTGCAATTCAAAATTCGGACGTCAACGGACGCGACTCCAGCTTTGAGAGAAGCCAAGTTTACAAGATCTTGAATATAACAATTAACCATGTAATTAAAATTTTCAAAAAATGATAGCAAGTGCAAAAAGCTTTCGTAATGACCTATTGTGTAGAAAAAAAATCTGTTATTCTTCATCTTTTTGAAATCTAGCTACGTCAAACGGGCATAATAATCAACAGTAGGCACTTCATTGGACATATTCTAGGAATGATTTTCAAGCTGTTTGCAATCTTAAAATCCAGTTGATCAACGAATTGTCAGAATTTTCGCTTAACTCTATGCGTCAAACTGAATTATTGAACTGTTTCCAACTGCACATTCCGTTTTCCAATCTATAGTTTCATAGAAAAATGAGTATTTCTTACAGTGTTTACCTCAGAAAAACAAAATATATCGATTTTAATTTAAAAAAGTATTAAACACTATCGGTCATGATGTGACGTCATTGTATCAATTGTGACAATTGTAAACAAAAAAAAGTCCTCCGTATGTCACTTGTGGACTCAAGTTGACATTATTTTTCTTGGCCAATGCAATAACGATAATTACCATGTTTTTGAGGTAAACTAGTAGACGTCTTGTTTATATACTAAGTGATATATAAATCCGAACACCCAGTTTAAATGGTTTTATTTTAATAAAATTTTGTATAAGTACATAATGAAGCATAATAAGTAAATGATAAAAATTTCAAAATGATTGCACTACTTTAAAGCCCTTTGACTTTTAATAATGTGTGGATGCACCCTGATGTGCTACGCATTCTCCAACGCGCCTAGGCATGCTTCTGATCAGGTGGTCAATGTCCTCCTGTGGTATCTCATTCCAGGCAACCACCTACTCCTCTCGAAGTGCTTCTTCTCAATTGGGGATAAGTCGGGAGATCTTGGTGGCCATGGTAACAATGTGAAATCATTATGTTGAAAGAAGTCTATTGTGACTCTTGCAACATGTGGTCGGGCATTATCTTGTTGGAAAGTTGGATCTGCCAGGGTGTCAAGATAGGGTAAAACATGGGGTTCTAGAACTTCGTGGATATACCGCTGCGCGTTCATGTTACCTCTGATGAAGATTAAAGGTGACCTGGAACCATAAGCTATAGCACCCCAAACCATAACTCCAACAGTGTGATGAACATGTCTTTCAACAAAAAACTGTGGATTCCTTCTTTCACCACGTCGCCTTCTAACCCTGGCACGACCATCGTGCATGCCTAAACAAAATCGAGACTCGTCACCAAAGAAAATACTGTTGCATTCCTGATCACAGAGTGACCGTTGTCTGCACCACTCAAGGCGATTACGTCCGTGTTCTCGAGTTAAAGGGAGGACCCAGTGTGGCCGGTATGAAAACAAGCCAAAACTTCTCATTCGTCGGTAAACACTTCGCAAGCCAATAGGTCTTCCGTGTTCTGCAAACCATTCAAACCATTCATTTGCAATGGACCTGGTAGTGGAGAAACGGTCCCTTAAGGCCAATAATCTTAAGCGGCGATCTTCACGGTCTGTTGTTCTACGGCGGCGTCCAGTGCCCTTTACTCTTTGCGTACGGCCTTCTCGAAGCATCTTTTTTTTATATCGAAACAGCCGCGCAGGCAGAAGCCTAAATGCCGGAACACCGCGGCTGCTATGATGATCCCAAAGAAATTTTGTTAATACGATTTTTGAACTGCCTAAGGTTAGTAGAACTGGGAAAATCTTCCTCCCGTAGATTGTTCCACAATCTAGACACCCTTGGGACAAAGGAGCGGTCGTATCGGCCAGTTCTGGATGTACGAAGTTTGACACGGTTAGGATGGGACGCCGAAGTCAGGCGGGTCTGTCTGGCAGGCACATCGCGCGGCGGCATCATAGAAGAGAGCTCTGAGGAGCAAAGCCCGTTGGTGTAGCGATAGAAAAGAGCTAGATCGCCGACGGCCCGCCGGTGCGAAAGAGTCCCGGGACTGTCTGTTAGAGAAGAGTCATCGATCAGTCGGACCGCCCTCCTCTGGACAGCATCGAGCATGGACAATGTAGTCGGGGCGGCAGCACCCCAAATGTGTGAGCAATACTCGAGGCTAGACCTTATCTGGGCCTTGTATATAGTGAGAACGTCATGCGGAGAAAAGTACTTCTTAGCCCTAAACAAATAGCCTAGCTTTTTCCCAGCAGCTGCAGCTATTGAAGAGATGTGTTCGTGCCAGATCAGGTCCTCGGTGATCTGGACTCCGACCAGCCGAAATGAATGGCTCTTTGGTAGAACTCGACCGTCCATCGAAACTGTATGAGCGCTAGGACGCTTTTTGTTCGTCAAAGTACAGTACTGTGTTTTGGAAGCATTGAACTGTACAAGATTGTTGCGTCCCCAAGCAGTGATAGCCTCCAGGTCTCTTGTCAGAGAAGAAGTCGTCGCTAGTCTTCTTTTTTCCAGCTCAGCGGCAGAGATCGGCTTGTCACTCGGAATTCCTGCGTGTAGAGTGCTGTCATCAGCGAAGCTGTGGATTGGGTTGATCGTGCAGGAAAGGAGGTCGTTGATATGTAAGAGAAACAGTGTTGGAGCGAAGACCGATCCCTGGGGAACACCTGCGTTGACGTTGTGGGATGAAGAGGAGAATCCGTCAATTACGACGGATATCTTGCGGCCAGACATAAAGTCAGCCACCCATCTGCAAAGCTTTTCTGGGAGGCCGTAGGATGGAAGTTTGCTTAAGAGGGCAGCGTGCCACAGCTGATCGAACGCTTTCGTGATGTCAAGAGCAACGACATGTGCCTCACCATAAGACTGGATGAGTTTACTCCACAATTGAGTGACGTAAGCTAGGAGGTCCCCTGTGGATCGTTGGTGCCGGAAACCGTACTGCCTGTCGCTAATCAAGCTGTGACGTTCGAGGTAGTCCAGAAGCTCGCGATTTATGCACCTCTCCATCACTTTACTTATAACAGAAAGCAGAGCTATAGGCCTGTAAATGTAAGGGTCGGTTTTAGATCCTTTTTTTGGGATGGGCTGTACATGAGCAAATTTCTAGTTTTCTGGGAAGGTGCCGGATTCATAAGATATCTGGAAGAGACGCGAAAGAACTGGAGCAAGCTCCGCTGCACATCTCTTCAGTACAATGGCAGGAATCAAGTCCGGACCAGAAGCTTTGTTGATGTCGAGCGACAAGAGCACTCGTCTTACGGTCTTATGCCTGAATGTTACCTCCCGCATAGTGTGCGGAACCCTTTGAATTGACGGCACTTGGGCGTTGGTGGGGACGTCCATGGTGGAGTTGGCAGCAAAGATCTTGGCTAGCACTTCCGCCTTGGCCTTTGAGTCGAATACAATAGTTCCATCCCGACACGTAAGTGGTGGAAGGCTAGCGTGTGAGAAGTTCTTTTCAATCTGCTTGGCCAGAGTCCAGAAAGACCGACTGCCATTGCGCTGCGACATTACCCTGTGCCTAACTTTTATATCATGCTGGTTTTTGGCATTGCGAACCGCTTCGTTATATTTGTTTCTGGACTCGACGTCGGCTTTTCTGTTTTCTACAGTGGGGTTTTGTAAGTAGGTTCTGTGGGCCTTAATCTTCTGCTGGCGAGCAGTATCACACGATTTGTTGAACCAGCCGTTGGACCCTGGTTTAGGAACTTTCACTGTGTGAGGGATGTATTCCTCCATTCCGACTTCCGACGTGGATAATTTCGGTTATTGAAGAACAGACAGTCGACGCATCCGCATCAGTGAAACAGACATCTCTCCAAGGAAAGCTAGAGAAGAAGTCTCTGAGCCCCTCCCAGTCGGCATGTCCGTAATGCCAAGTTTTGCGGCCTGTGCGAGTTTCTGCTGCCACAGCGGCTTCGGACCGAAACCTAACCTCCACAACACCATGATCTGAGTTACCCAGGGGGGACAGGACAGCAGTGCTGTAAGGGGCAGGCTGCGTGGTCAGAAAGAGATCCAGCAGGCTACTGGCGTGTGACGAGAGGCGGGGAAAAAAAGTAGGGCTCGTCACCAGCTGGGTCAGCCCTTAAGTAAGAGCGAACGCTTCGACTGCACGACCTGCTGCATCGGTCTTATTTGAGCCCAACCAAAGCTCATTATGGGCATTGAAATCACCGAGAAGAACTACCTCTGAAGCGGGGTGATTGATGTTCAGGAAGTCGATCTGGACGGCGAGGTATTCGAGTAGGTCATCCCAGTTATGGTTCGAGGGAGAGCGGTAAAGGCAGCAAATAAATTTGGGTGATGTTTTGTTGTTGAGGCGAAGCCACAGAATGTCCTTCCGGTCTGATTCCAAAGAAAGATCCCTGGAGCAGGAAAGACTGCTGCGGACAAAAGCCACAACTCCCCCGTTCTTTCTCAGATTGGAGTGCACCTCGTAGTTTGGGAAGTTGAGATGGTTAATCGGTGCAGTCTCTGAGATTTTTGTCTCCGCCAAGAAAAGCACGGCGGGACGATTGGATTGCAGGTAGTGATGAACAGCATCAATGTTGCTGTTGATCCCGCAGATGTTCGAAAAACAAATTTTATCTTCGATGTTGTTCCCTCGAGCCCACCCTCCACCCGGACATTCCGAGAGTGGAGTGAGTTTACGTCCGGAGATTTTAGTGCTCGAGGGATCCATCATCATTAATTTCTTTGTTTTGATAGATAACCGACTGCATAGCTTACGTGTGGAAACATGCGGACATTTATAAGACACCCTGGGAAAAGCTAGCGGGTGGTACTGCCTCGGTCGACTGGTCCTTGTCTACCACCTTCTTTTTACGTGTTAGTGATGTTAAATAGACCTAAAGTGGCCCGTTGCCCATGCCCATGCCTGACAACACCTAACCACAGTGTCTACACTTCTTTGCACTCTAACTACAATTGCCCGAAAAGAAAGTCCAGCTTCCCGAAGTCCCACTATACGGCCCCTATCAAACTCACTAAGTTGACGAAATCGTA